GTTCAGCAGACTGACTGCACACTCCCTCTGTTGGCTGAAGGCTCATTACTCTTCCATCAGATAGCAACTGGGAATTCAGCTTTGCTGTGGGATACACTGTCTGACCATACAGAACCGAATCCAGCATCAGCAGCACAAGAACTAGGGAAGGACACAGTATTCCAAGGAACACTAGTAGATTTTGCAACAGTGACCACACTTGTATGTCCCAATTATATGAGGTGACAATGTTGTGTTCTAGGAGGAAATCGCATAGCTTATGCAGTAATTCTCTTTCACTTTAAGGCTGTTAGAACCAGTCCAGAATTCCCATCAGTATATCATACGCCTTCTGCATAGTCATCACTGAATTCACTTCCTTCCTCATTTTGCAAGGATGCTGCAATCAGAAGCTAGCCCATTTTTCTGCTATAGCCCATTGCCTTCTCCCCTCAGTCTGGGCATACCAAGTCCATGACAACCACGGCACCAAATACAGTCAACCTGAAATCCCACACTCCTTCCCTGACAAGGAGACTTTCCAACTACATTTTACAGAGAGACATTTTAAAGAGACTATGTTTACAGTCTGGTGGTAAGAAAATAATTCAGAATAAAATAATTTGCAAGTCAAAGAGCTGAATTAACAGCTGCCCAAACTAACTAACCTCCAGTTACTAGATTAACTATTGAGAAGTTGCCCGTAAATGTTGTCAGTTAATGTTAAAAATGAACAGATGACTAATTTGGTCCAACTTGGAAGAGACCTGAATGCTGCAGAAAAACAATATAAACAGTTCCACCTAACAAAGAAAGTAAAAAACATGCAGTATGTCTCCCTGCCTAGTTCAAGAGTCCTACAAAAGTCTGCTGGATCTTCCAGCCTACAAATTCCTGTTTTAGTATCCTGCCAGGCAAAGAGATCACCCATACAAGACTTGCCTGCTTAAGACAATGATCTCCCAAGAAATTCCAGTCCTTGGGGTTTTCCTCAACCCAAGGAAACCAGGGACAACTTCGTATCTTCTTAGCAAACAGGCACTTAAATTAGGAAAGACACCTCCTTTTTATTACAGAAAATGAAGGACCACTTAAGTGGTACTCATAGCACAAAGGAGATGTTGCAAATATGCTGTACGGGTGCACAGAAAGCAGATACCAATCTGATATGTGACAGAGGCATTCATGGTGGCAAAGCCATTTCTGACATTACCTGCCAAGCAATGATTAGTGCCACTCCTCTGACAGCACTGTAAATCAGAATCCAACAGAAAGGGGACAAATATCACTTCTAACCTTTACTCTAGAGGTAAAGTGTCATCTTTTTCACAGTATTTAGTCTCTATAGTTCACTTTTCTTGTGACTGGTTTTCTTCTTGAACAAACCCAGATAACACAGTGAGAAAAGAATCCCAGTACGTCAAGAGATGCAACTGCTCCGTTAGCTGAGCAAGGAGGTAGACGCCATAGATGTTCTCTTCAGATGGAGCACAGAAAAGGACTTTGTGCTACTTAACTGGTACCAAGGTTGTGGTCACTGGCACCAAAATACTGCAGGGCATCAGCATGAGACGCAATACAGTAGCATCGAGACTTGTCCAGCAGCTACATCTGAACCACACATTCTTGGCATCTGGAACAGAAAGGCATCTCTAATTAGGTGCTGTCCAACTTTGTGATGGATGTGCAGTGCAAAAGTATAGTGCAAGTCCTGAACTGGTCTACCTGTTTTTACAGTGATGAGCAACATCTTTTAGGTAACTGTTGAAAAGAATTTGGTTAATCTTCAAATTGTGCATGTTTCAGAGGAACACAGCTCATGATAAGCTGTACAGAAGTCAATCAATCAGCAGCAAATGGCAAGTGCAGAACCGTGCACACTCCTCTTTCTAGTTCAGGTGTTTCTTGTATACAAGACCGAAATTACACATTCTCCACACAGTCAAAATAGTTTTCCAAAGGGAAGAGACACCGACAAGAATGATACAGAAAGTCACACAATTATCAGTTCAGTAGAATCCACAGGCTACAGCCAAAAGGTTGCTGTGAATAGAATTTCCTTTTCTTAAGCTTTTCTATCTACTTAAGAGTGTGAAAAAAAATGGGGGGGGGGGAAGTAATTAACTGTAGGATCTAAATCTAAAATGGGTATCAATGGGTTTTATAATAGGGAAAAAACCCACCTATAGCAGCTAGTATTTCTAAGTCATGCTTATGAACAATTAAAAGACATACAGCCAAGAAGCCACTGAAAAACTTAAATTACAGCTTACCTTATCACATCACAATGCAAGACAATCCCATACAGCCTTGATTCCCATCTTCACTACTGTTCAGCTTTTTCATCCGGTACTGCCGGATCTCTCTCACCAGTGTGTAAAAAGCATCTTCCACACCCTGAATGCAAATGATCCAGGTAAAGTATTTTCTTTCCTGAAGATTTTGAGATCACTGTTCTTTCCATCACAGAATCCCTTAACACATTTGAAAGACATACTTCTACAGGAAGAGTAGTAGCTAAATCCTAGAGTTCATAAGAGGAAGAAACTAGCACTTAAGTCCAAAAGTCTCCTATTACACTCTTAAGTCTTCCCCTGAGGCAAGCATCCAGTGCAACAGCCATTAAAAGAAACAAAACAAATTGTAACCGTAGAGAGGTCCCATACAGGAAACAAGCTACTTCTTGACTAATCACCTCAATTTTATAATTCTTAGAAAAGACCAAGAATAGAAGCAACTTACCTGTCTTGTTTTAGCAGATGTCTCTATGAAGGGGATTCCATAGCTTTTTGCTAGTTCTTGAGCCTGTTTTGTGTCTACTGTTCTTGTAGGCAAATCACACTTATTCCCAACTAGCACCATTGGCACATCATCTGAATCTTTCACTCTCTTGATCTGTTCTCTTTAAAAAGACAAAGAAAAAAAACGCTAGGAGCTATTTTCTAAATAGAAAAGCTGTTTTAGTTCAGTATTCAAACAACCTTGTGCTATAAAAATATGTATTAAGTGTGGACAGGACCCCAGTGGTTCTAACCTACAGCACTATGTCTAATAGCTTTGTACACTCCATCTTCTAGTCCATGTATAACTCCATTCTAACATGTATTTCCTTTCTTAGGCATTTTCTTAGAGATCACGTTTCTGTGCACTCTAAACATCATCGGAGTAATGCAACAACCCAGACAACTGTCCCTCTCTGAATTGGCTAATAACATATAGACACAGAACACAGATTAAAAAAAAAACTTTCAGAAAAAAATTAAAAACTTTCTGAAAGAAGTAGAAGATTTAATATTTATTATTTAGTCTTCACTGGGTCTAATAGCAAATGGGTCTGATGGCTTTTCCAGTCTTCCCTCCCTGCGGTAAAGGCCCAGATCATACCTGTAAAGGTTAATATCAGCAAACGATTTACTATTGTTAATGGCAAAAACACAGAGGAATCCTTCCCCAGTTCTCATGTACTGATCACGCATAGCACTATACTCTTCCTGTCCCGCAGTGTCCAGAATGTCTAACAAGCACGTCTCTCCATCAATAACAACCTGCTTTCTATATGAATCCTGCAAAATACAGAAGTGAATTTTAGATTAGAGAAGTGAATTTTAGATTAGAGAAAAACATTTTATTATTTCTTTCCACCTCAGGCATTATTAAGGAAAAATAAAATTAATAATAAAAAAGAGTGTGATTTAGGGAAGCTTTCTAGCCCTCCCACAAAGAAATACCAGTATCTAAAATCATCAATGTTTAAAGCGTTACTCTAAGCCCCCTCAACCTTTCTTACAAAAACAAAAAAACACTGTTCTTTGTAATTCCTCAATTGGTAGACAAGAAAAAAAAAACAACTTATAAATACTATCACTACATCACGACTATAACCTACAACCCGTAGATCGGTGGTGACTTTTTCTGTTGCCATTGTTGGCTGCCTACATTCTGCTTTAGAAAGCAAGAAGTACAACATGCAAGGAATCCTTGAAAGAGTTTTCCCAGAATTTCTTATCCTGTGCACTCTGATCTCACATCTGACTTTTTAAGCAGCGGGGGGAAAAGAATAAATAAATAAATTAAAATATCAGTAGAAGCCTCCCGTCCCGATTCACACAAAGCTCCCCGTCCGGATCTCCCCCCCCCGCCGTGACCGCACCAGCTCACCTCAATGGTGGGGTCGTACTCATCCACGAAGTGGTTCTGGATGAGCTGGATGGTCAGTGCGCTCTTGCCGACGCCACCGGCTCCCACCACCACCAGCTTGTATTCGG